GGGGGGGGGGGGGGGGGGGGGGGGGGGGGGGGGGGGGGGGGGGGGGGGGGGGTGGCGGGGCGAAATCAGGACGACGACAGCGAAGGGACGGAAGACGAGTGGGGGGACGAGGGTGGGCGGCGCAGTCGCCGCAGCAGCTTGAGCAGCGACGGTAGCATGTCTACGCTCATGATGGACGCTGCTCTGGTGTCGGAGACAAACGAGCTCGCGGCTCAGGTAAGGAGGGAGGGGTTTCCAACGATCGTGTTTGTTTGTTTTTTTCGAGCGGAAGGCGGGGGGGTCTTTCCCGCCGATGCGTGTACGCGGCAACAAGAAAGCTCCTAGTTCCAACCCAGAGGTGTTGGTAATGAAGATCGTACGGGGCTTGTTCTGGCAGGGAATGGTGTTGATTGACCGCCGATGTCTCTCTCTTGTGGTTATGATGACGTGGTGTTAGTCCCGCCCGCATCGCCCTACAATGTAAATAAGGTGTGTGCCATAGGAAGAGTGAAAACGAGCGAGCGGCGATTGGACACCTGATTGCCATAGCGCGAAAAGTACAGAAATGCGGGCTACAAGGTGCTCTCTACCAAAGCGGTCGTATGTACGTATCTTCACGCTTTTCCATCGTTGGATCTGTTTGTGTGGCACCCCACCTCGTGCTGCCGCTGGGAGTTGGGTCCACGGACGTTGCGATCTCGTCCTCTGGCCTGCAGAGCTCCAAGTGATGAACGTTTTAGAAACAGCAGTGCCTAGTGTTTTGGGGCCTCTGGCATGCCGTTTTGTCTGTCGGCAGGCTGGAAGTTTTCTTCCTGATCAGTTGGTGACGAACTCGAGAGCTGACAGGAACAACAATCTCGAGATTTGGCAGTTGGCAGCCGGTCTCAGTTCTGGTCATTGACTTTGTTGTTGCCCCTCTACGAGATCCAGGACGCCAACGCTACGAAAGGATGCGCCATAAATTCGCGAGGGAATATCCGTTGCTCCCCCACTAAGCAGTCTTTTATCCTTGCGACCATTCCGGTTCTCGACCAATCCCTCCCTCGCTTGTATTTATACCTCACGGCCGTTGACGGGGAGAGACTCGACGACGCTGTTAAGGTGGCGGTGGGTGCGGGGGCTCTCTCCCTCCGCCAAGTGGTTTGCGACTGCGGTAGAAAATGGGGGTCTGTACAGATTCCGGAATGCCTGATTCCACTGGTCTTCCGCTTGCGGTGGCCCTGCTTGCGAGAGATCGTTCGTGCATCATGCCCCCTCCTCCAATCATGCTTCATCGATGATTAGCGTGTTGATGCGCACCTAATTCCGAGTGAAGCTCTATGTGCGGCACACGAAGTAGCCCCTTGCTTTAGGCCCACGGCGACTTGAACTTGGTTGACTCTTCTGGGCTCTCCCATGTGGAGTGCCGACACTGGCATATTGCGAAGCGTTAGGGCAGCAGCATGGGGAGCCTAGTCGCCAACAAGAGGTCGGCGCGCGAAACGTGCAGGAATGCCCCCCGCAAGAGATGGAATTGACCTCCCCAAGTTGTTGCAGAATCGGGCACGCCCACCAGCGATCAAGAAGGGTCACGCCGTGCGACCCCATCCCATCCCTCGGGCTCGGTGTGTCGTGACTTAATGTATGGCGCGTTTGTCGGGGCTCAGGTTGAGGTATATGTTTCGTACGCTGTCCTGACGCTGTCGCATCTGCAGTGCTTCACCGTCGGACTAATTTGATGACGGTTTTCGCTTGTTGAGGCCTCTATCCTTCGGCCTGATGCCGTGTTCGCTCTTAGTTTATATCTCTCTCACTCTCCGTTCATCCCTCTGCGTTTCTACATCCCTCCGTCCGTCCCTGCTTTTTTTTTTTTTCTTGTGTGCGTGTCTTGTGCTGTTGTGTCCTCTCCGCCCTCTCGGCGTTGTGCTGTCAACGGTTCGCGCCGACGGGGCTGCCTTTACGACAATGGGTTGGTAATGCAATCTGAACGCCGACCATTGCGCGCGGCCGGGACCCTCCCTAACAAAAGCTGGACCTCTTTGACACGGTCATGCACGAAGACATGAAGGACGCAATCTCCACGGGGATGACGGAGGAAGGGGACGGTGGGGACGGCCACGGGAGTGAGGCGGGAGGGGACGACGGCGGCGGCGGCCGCGGCGGCCGCGGCCCGTTCGTGGAGTTCGCGCCCGATCCCCCGGCCGTGGCTTCGATACGCTCGGCGATCGACAAGCTGCAGGACAAGGAGGAGACTCGCCTTGTGGTGGAGATCATCGCCGCCAACATGGAGAGGATGGTGGACATCAAGTGCACCGACAACCACTGGAAGAAACTCAGGGACGCGTCCAAGTCGGCGCTGGACACGGCCTTCATGGAGAGCGACAGCGACGACGACGACGACGGTGGGTTCGGCGGCAAGCCGACCTCCAAGACCCCCGCCGCCGCCGTACCTGCACCGGCGTCGCGCTCCGCCCCGTCGCCGCCGGGACCGCCGCCGCCTTTGCCGGGTATGCCTGCGGCGCGCGCGATCCCTGCACCTCCGGCCCTGCCGGGCATGCCTGCGGCGTCCGCGATCCCCGCCCCGCCGGCCTTGCCTGGAATGCCCGCTCGCGGCGCGATCCCGGCGCCGCCCGCCTTGCCCGGCATGCCTGCGGCGAGCACGATCCCCGCCCCGCCGGCCTTGCCCGGAATGCCCGCTCGTGGCGCGATCCCGCCGCCTCCGGCCCTGCCTGGAATGCCTGCGGCGTCCGCGATCCCCGCCCCGCCGGCCTTGCCCGGAACGCCCGCTCGTGGCGCGATCCCTCCCCCTCCGGCGTTGCCCGGCATGCCTGCAGCGGGGGGAATCCCTCCCCCGCCGGCGTTGCCCGGAATCCCGGCGCCTCCCGCCCTGCCCGGCGTGGGCGGCGGTGGCCTACCTATGCCGCCCCCGCTCCCGGGCATGGGCGGGCCGCGGGCGCCGCCGCCGCCGTTGGGCCTACCGGTGCCGCGAGGGCTGGCGCCTCCGCCGAAGCTGCCGGTGAAGCCGAAGGGTCCCAAGAGACGCCCGGTTCACTGGGACAAGATCGCGCCCGCGAACCTGGAGCAGACGGTGTTCAGCGAGATCGACCCCAGCTCGGTGGTGAGTATAACGGACTTTATGTTTTAGCTGGGTTTGGGGGGAGATGTGTCAGTTTGGGGGGGGGGG